GTAGCCGTTAATTGAATAGTCGAGATTTTTACTGATTAGGAAAAAAAAATGTGGAGGTTTTGTTGGAGCTATATTGGATGTTAACGTGTATACATCAGCTTAGCGTTTGTAGGGTTTGGTAAGAAAATTTAGGGAAGCTTTATTCCTAAAATTCCAAGATTGGTGAGTAACTGGATGACTTTTGGGGTTAAACGAATATCCTTCTCTTTCGTATTGAATCTTCCGACTTGTGGCCCACTTTGGTGTCCACTTGGTGCCTGTTCATCTTGACACGTCAGTCAATATTCAATAAATGTTTTGTTGAAAGATTCTTTTCCCTGAAATGCGGATAAAAGGGCTCCAAGTGGGTGTTTTATTTTGTCTGCAAGTGCACAAGTTGTTGCTCAACTTTGATGCCTATACGTAGTTCACTGCTTTTCTTTGATATAAACAATTGGAACATTTGGTTTAAATGATGAATAAAGCCATGATATCAGATGAAAATTGCCCGCCTAGTTGATCGACCCTCAAAAGGTGCATGGACCCTGCGTGAATTAAATAATACTTGACTTCTGAGGTGTGTGTATTCGATCATCTAAAATGTCAACGGCTATATTCGTGTAGTGATATGAATATGAAAATTCAATTAAGAAAAGAAATTAAAAAGAATTACTCTTTTCATATTTTTCTTCTATAACCTATTTGTGTCCTATTTTTATAAGATAGCATTATTCTTTTTATAATTATATTATATATAGTCCTCTTCTCAAGGCGTAGAGACCTAGTTCTCCACGATCTTATAGGCATGTTCGCAAATCATTTTAAACATTAAAATGTCAACATTTTAAATAGTCTTTAGACCATTTCCAACTACAACACTAAAATACCATTTTTTTCCCCCTTTTCATTAAATATTTGGTGCAATTTCACTCCAACCCAACACTAAATTTTGCACAGCATTGCACCAAATTTGATAAAAGTCTTTTTTAACCTTTATTTTCATTTAGCACCAAATGATATCAAGGGTACTTGTGTCATTTTACATCATACATAAATTTTATTTCTTAGTTAATTAATTAATTGTAATAAACTTTAATTCTGTAATCAATAATCATCAATGAATGAATTAAAATAAAAGTACCCAAGAAGTTTTAAAATGCAACATTTGTGGGATGAATATACGAATTCTGATAATTAAATTACAACACTACGTTGACTTTCTCGTATTATGATATCGGGATTCGAAATGTACTATGTTATTTTTTAATAATACAATTTAATATTTTCTTAGTTGTGGTATTTTTATTAATTGCACGACAATTTTAAAATTTATTAACAAATTTAATATGTAATTGTACGATATTTTAAAATTTATTAACGAATTTAATTATTTATGTAGGAATTTATGTAGTAGTAAAATATATAAATATATAACTTTTTAGCTGTATAAATTGTTAAACGTAAAAAATGAAGAAAAAACACTATTCATTTGATGTAATTTTTGATATAATCTATTGGAAATGATTTTTGGTCTGGTGCAAAGTTTAGTGCAAAATTTGTTGTAAAATCGTACAAAATTTGGTGTGAAGTTGAAGATAGCCTTAGATTTTATATTGTTTATTCCATTAGTCATAAAAGTCGGTTGAGTTGAAACTAAAAAGTAGACTTATTTGGTTCATGGTATGCATATGTCGTGAAAACATAGACCTTATTTTTATTTTTTTCAACTCAATAGTTCTTTTTATGAATATGGTTTTATTTCGATTAAAGAAGTTTTATTTCGTCTCATTTGGTCATGTATATCTAGTTGACCACACATTCGAGGGAGTGATTTTTTGAATCGTTAACAGTCTATATCGTTGGCTAACTAATTTCATTGTTAGTTTTTTGAACATTTTAAATTTCAATAACTGACAAGATAAATATTAAAAAAAAAAAGAATATTGATATTTTAAAGTTCTATGACTATTTAGAAATACGTCTACGGACTAACCAAGTGCTTTAACAGCTACTTTTGAAAATCAGAGTGCATTGAAACCTATATCACTTGATGACTCTTCATAGTGCTGTATGTATAACTGTGCATGGATTATTATAAGCTCTGAGCTTTATCCTTTCCAGCGTTGAATTATTTGTTTAGTATGATTTCGTGCATCATTTGTAGTGCACGTGTGTTCATGTATTTTATCCAATAATTGAAGCATAAATGATAAAACAATAAGTGGAAGCAATCGCGAGGCTCAACCCTTCTTTTTTTAACATAATATGGACAAATATTTCAATCAATATTGGGACACAAGGTTTGACGACAAAGCATGCAAATTATTATTTATAAATAAATAAATCATTGAAACTAACACGCCATTGTGTGAATCTCTGTGCTGCACAAACTATTCATCGTGTGCACAGGAATAGAAAGTTAGGTGAAGGGATTGTACCCTACAGTAAAGATGTTAAATCTTATTATTAATGATATTTATTACTTAAACGTGATTTCAACATACATGCTCTTGTATATTTCTGATAAATACAAACTATAAGCACCCTTTCATTTTTTCTCACAGATGATATTGAGTTTTGAAGTTTAATTTGAAATAATTCGTTCAAGTAATTCAAATTCTTATATGTCTTCATTAAAGGTTCCATCTTCAACATATTAGTAATTTCTCATTAATATTGAGCACATCATTCTTGAAATCCAAATGCCAGTTTCAATTTTAAATGGATCATATTGCTCGTTTGAACTTTTTGGGTTCTCGTATTATATCGAGGCTTGGAATTGCATTTTAAAATGACAACCTTATAAAGAGGGGTACCAAAAAAATTGTCTTTTACTTTACCTTGGGCAATAGAACCTGAATAGCTCTCATACCACCCAGTGACCTTCATTCAAAACATAAAAATGTCGGTTAAGTTGATTACTTTTACAACATTATCATTTTACTTACCAAGTAAGAGTACTCAGGTGAGCCCCCGAGGGCATATCTCAGTGGTGCAAAGGACAAGGGTGAGGTATACTTAGTTTTGCTGACAGTCGCAGTGTGATGGTTCGATTCCTGAAATATGGATTGAGACTATTTGTGAGCAACATTGTACATGCAGCTCTTGTTTCCTGACCTGTTGAAGCACATCCCGCGATTAACCTCTTTCACGATATTTCAGGGGTGGGTGGGGGCCCTTAAGGTTGGGGTTCAACCCTTTTTTTAAGAGTACTCAGGTGAATGAAACCCTAATATTATTCTCAATTATTAGAATGCCAGAAAGAAGAGATTGTTAGGATTGAGTACACATAGCTGGGAAGTCTTGTCCTTTTACTAAAATCTCTCATTCCTCAAGATATGGCCTTCGAATTCCAAGTATGGTAAGGATTTGAGTACACATATGGACGAATTCAATCAGAACAAATTCAATAATAGAATTAAGACTGTTTATGGGGATGACAATAATAGAATAAAGTTGTCATAACTAGTGGGAGGTCCGTTCAGGATCTGATGATGAAAAAAGGAATGGAGTGACTCATATTATTGTTTGCTTTAAGTTGGGTTACATTATTTTACCAGATACATTCACCTTGAGGCAACTCCAACCCATACATCAAATTTCACCATTTTTCACAAAAATATTGCTCCAGCCCAATACCAAATCTTACACCATTTTGCACCAAATGTGATAAAAGTCCATTTTGCCCCTTTTTTATGTATAACCAAGTTGATATGAAGGGTATTTGTGTCATTTTACATCATAAATAAATTTTAATTCATAATTAAGTAGTTAATAATAATAATAATAATAATAATAATAATAATAATAATAATAATAATATGATCATCATTTGTAATAAACTTTAGTCACGTAATTAGTAATAATAGATTAACGAATTAAATAAAAGTACTCAAAACGAAATGCATTAATTGAACATTTTGGGATGAATATATGAATTCCGATAATTAAATTATGACACTAGGTTGACTTCTCCGTACCATAATTTCAATATTTGAAATGTACTACGTTATTTTCAATAACATGATTTTATATTTTCTTGGTTGTGGTATTTTTATTAATTGTACTGCATTTTTAAAATATATTAAATAATTTCATATTTTCGTAAACAAAATGTAATTATGTATGTAGTAATTTATGTAGTAGTAAATCAAATAAATAAATAATTTTTCAGCTATATAAATTGTTAAAAATAAAAGAAATGAAGAAAATGACTAAACAGTGTTCATTTGGTGTAATTTTTGGTATAGTGAGTTGGAGATGATTTTTAGTTTAGTATAAGATTTGGTGTAAATGGTGCAGATCTTGGTGCAAGGTTGGAATGGTCTATCTTCCTCATTTAGTTTGTAGTTAGGCTAGCATTTCTCTATGTAGAACAATGTGGTTCACTCATTGCCCTTGTACATGGTTTAATGGCCTTATCTCGTTTTTCGTGTTTCCATGGCTAGTAATCTAATTGTTTTAAATCTTCAAGCAGATATAATAATGAACCCAAAAGAATGATATAAATTAACTTATGTAGTGGATGGGTTGAAATGTGTCTCTCAAACTAGCTGTTTCTTAATATATTTTTGACACATCAGCACATTACATCTTTTTAGCAATAAGAGTGACGTTATGGCGTAATATGCCAATGTTTCGAGAAATATGTTATCTCATTTGCTAAGAAGATATGATGTGTTGAGGTATCAAAAATATATTAGGTGGGCAGCCAATGAATGGGACAATAGATCTAATCTTGTAATAGATAGCAACACACTTTGTTTCACCATAATGCCATCTCTCTTTTACAGCGTTCACATTCACTACCCAAGAGTGAAACATTTATGGCATGTTACGTACACTGAATTGGACGGGATTGGACAAGAGAATTGGCTTTGTTACATATCTCTCTTCCTCGATTCTCTTTAGTCCAACTACCAATACAGCTGGTTTAAGTTAGAAGTTTGGGAAAGTGTATTGTCCCATCTTTATCTTTTCATTTATGAACATCAAATAGAAGGGATGGAGCTTGAACAAAGTAAACAGCAAACAATTACTTGCGGCCAATTCTTATTTATGCAGATCTTGTTTGTAAAACAAAAATTAACAACCAAAGAAATTTGAAGTGATTTTTTTTTTTTTTTCCTAACATTTGTTTTCTTAGGTTGTTCCCTACTGCATGGACAGGAACAAATAACTGGTGGAAAGATCGAATAAACAAATAAAAGAGATACAATCAACATATTCAGATTTCTGCAACCAATTCTTCCACTTCCCCATTCTTTTCCTCTATTCAAAATGTCGCTGAGTCAGAGCCAGAAAATCTACTCTTTCTACTTGTCACTGCCTCTTTTTTCCTCGGAAACTTCCTGCCAACACAAAGTGCAACGAAATTAGCCCTGGACACCATAATTTTCTCAAAAACTACATGGTGTCATATAAATAACTCACCGGATTTTCCAGACGCTTTTTTACCTTCAGCTGATGATTTGAAGAAATCTAAATGCTTCTTCATTTTTGAGTCATCCTGCAAGAAATTAGAGATTACAGTAATCGGGGAAAAAAATTAGTTAAGAAGACCTCATATAAGAAGAAAGTACCTCAAAATCTGCTGTAGCAAGGCCTTGGGAGAAACCAGGACCGTGTTCTATTGAAGTATGAATACCAGAATAAGCTACATTGTCCTGAAATTCAAAGCTGACATTAATATCAGAGGAAAAATTTTAGACGGCCTAAAACCTAAAAGTAATAAAGAATTAGACGTTGTTTCATTGAACTTGCCTTGGAGAAATGAAAAATAGGAGAGCTAGCAGTATCATCAAGATACAAACTTTGTGACTTGGCTTTCTTCTGTTTCATTATCTTCTTCTGGTTGCTATTCTTTTTCTGTTCATTGGACGCGTGGTTTTCAAAGTAGTCTTGGATTTGTGGTTGTGGAGGCCCTGAAGAGGCATCAGAAATCATAGAAAGGTTTTCATCTTCTTGATCATCATAAACATATGCTCCTCCTTTTTCTTGATATTTATAGTTATCAAAAGCCCTGTTGTAATAATTCGTCGAATTGGAAAGCTGATCCCAGTACATAGTCCATCCGGATTCACATCCACTGCTGCATTCAGAATTTGACGTATTCATTATAAGATTCTCTGAACTTCGAAATGAAATTGATGCTGGATTATTGATTTGAAAAGAGAGAGATTTTACCGGTTGGTTTCTCTTTGTTGCTTGCTATTTATAAGAAGAAGAAGAAGAAGAAGAAGATAAGAAAAGTGAAGGTGGAATGATATGAAACCAAACAAATTACACTGAAATCCTAGACTAATTTTGTCCTTCCCTTTGTTAATTTTTCCTTATTATTATATTTTTTCAAGTAATATCAAAACTGCCAGTTGTCTTCGTCTTTGTCATCGCATATGTATGTGGGGTAAAAAGTGTTGTCCTATTATTTGTCATCGTTTTCCATGTTGCAAGTTCAGTTGTGCTACTAAAAGACAAAAAAAGAAATAGTGGTTTGCAAATGTTAAAGGGAGAGGCTACAATCTTGTAATTTGGAGTAACAACTTATTTCAGGGAAAAGCTATGGTCATTGGGATTCAATATTGAGCGTAGATTACACGTTCTTCATAGTAGGAAAAAAAATATTAAATCGGAGGCTTCTGATCGGTTTCATACACAGCAAGAATTGACCTGTGACATGTTTGGTAAAGTAGACGCCATAATATTAGTCCTTTGGTCCCAATTAGCATAGTTTGTACTTTCTTAACAAGAAAGAATAACATAACAATCATGCTACATGTATAGAAATGGTTGACAATTTATTTGATAAGTTTTGAGCTAGCAAGATTTCATTAGATGTTGGTCGAAAAAACAAAATTAAACCTATCAATACACTGTTGCTATCTCATCATCAGTAAAAACAAATTCACAAGGAGCTTAATTCATAACATAATATGCTGCTGGTCCGTTTCATACTCGGCAAGAATTCACATTCGGTACGTTTTTTCGAAGGATTGTTTCGTAGGGTATAAGAAAAGCAAAGAAACTAAAATTTTATAGATCATTTATGTGAAGTGCTAAGAATGTCTGTGAACTTGTGAATGCAACCAAAAACTTTCTGCAAAAATATTCTGGTAGGTAAATGTTGACCAGATGGATAAACAAAATTATTTTATCCTCAACTTTTTGGCTTTATTATGTAAAGGTTGAATTTCAATCTTGAGGGCCCTTATGGCCCCGCTTCTTGAACTTTGTGAGGGAGGTAAATCGCGGGATGTGCCCCAACAAGCCAGAAAACAAGAACTGCCTGTACACTACGCCTACAAGGAATCCAATTCCATGTCTCAGAAATCAAACCCACACACTGCGATTGTTAGCAAGGCTTAAGATTACTCCACTCCCGTTCTTTGCACCACTTTATTCTGTGATCATAAAGGTGAGGGTTCCTTCATTAGCTAGTAGCATTAATTTGTCTTATTTTCTTGACCGTCAAAGTTTTTCCCAAGGCATGAATAGAACTTTATACCAATAAATTTCTGTTTGAAGCTTATCGCATTGAAGGTGTCAAAATTGAGTTAATGCACATTGGCCCATTTTATGCGGTAGAATGGGAATGATGTCCAGAAGCCAGCGGAGACTATAGGGGTACATATGAATACAGGCCCACCACGTGCTTCTGGTAACATGTATATATATCTGATATATACACTTCCAAAATTCGTACGAAAACATTGATTAACGGGACTCGACCAGATAACACAAGCATATTTTACATGTCTCTTTTTCCAGTGAGCTAGTAAGTATGTCATGTAAACCTTGAGTTTTGAGAAGATTAGAAGTTACATGAGGGGTAAAAAATTAATTGCCTCTATTACGTGGTAAAATGTAGATCACACAGGCCTAAATTTAATGGGTGCAATTCTGTACTTCAATGCTTCATTGAAATAACTATAGGGTATCCATCTGAGCCAGCTGGTCCCGGTACCTAATTTCATTTGCACATGCTCTATGCTGGCTACTTGCATGCCTTCGACAAAATCAATCACCGTTTCTATCTTCTTAGTTGCTATGGTTGATGCATTCAAAATATCAGTTCGAATATGTTTGCATATCATTAGACGATGGATTTCGTCTTTTGCGCATTGCAAAAAGGCTAATTTAGTGCAGTGTCTTTTTGTATATTTAGTTTAAAGCTATATAGCAAGGTTAGATTGATCTAAATCTTCACTATCATTTTGCATATTTCACTGCATTAATTTTGTATTAGAACACACGTGTTCCTTATCATGACATCAATGACTAGGTTAGTGTCTTTTTCTTGATATAGTTTGGAGCTTTTAACAAGTTTAGATTCATCTAAATCTTCACTATCATTTTGCATATTCTGCTGCATCAATTTTCTATTAGAGCACACTTGCGTTCGTTATCATGACATCGAAGAGACGGGTTAGTGTCTTTTCTATATGTAGTTTTGAACTTTATAAGAAGTTTAGATTCATCTAAATCTTCACTATCATTTTGTGTCTTCTGATGCATCAATTTTGTATCAGACCACATTCCTCTTCCTAATCATGACATCGATACAGGTTAGTGTCTTTTTTCTATTCCACTTCATCGGTTTTGTATCAGAGCACACTCGTGTTTCTAATCATGACATCGAGGAAATGGATTATTGTTCGCAAAATTGAAATGGATAAAATCATGTGGAGCAATGAGTTAGTGTATCTGCATCTATGAGTGATGTATTGTAACATAACTAATAGAAATGGTACGTACAACTGCATCAATAGTCGAAGGCTCGAAGCTATTGAAGTTATAGATAAATAATTTTTTATCATGAGGGCTTGTCGGACACTGAGACGTAGCAGATGACGGGTTGACAGAAGAAAAATCTGACGATGAAGATAGCCCTTTCATCTCACTCAATCTTGACTGGCAACTGGATACAAAATGACCTTGTGAGGTTTGAACCAATCTTAGCTTGTCAATGGTCCCTTGAAAATGTAAGGTGAAATGGCAGTATATAAGCAGCAACTTTTTAAATTCTCACTGTTCCATCAGTCTACTTTCACATCTGGACATTTTTCAACGTCTTTTTCCATTTGTCACAAACAAGAACCCTAGTTTACATCAATTGAGTCAAGTCCCCATCCCCTATGATATATTATGAAATTTCAGGTCTTCCTCCTCACAATTAGATAATTGGGTGTATACATTATATGAGATTTTTAGTGACAAGGGAGATATATTAGTTTTTATGTTAAAAGATCGAGCGGATATGTTGTACGTACATTTTGAATTTCTTGTAACTCATTTCTCTGTGTTGTGTCAAAAATTTTAGTTACACTTTATTGCTACTAATTTTGCCACTTTGTGTACCTAAAAACTAAATGTTCACATATATGGACATCGTACTTAGTGCATGTCTTGGTATGCATAGAAGTATTTTGAAATTACTTATTTTTAAACATAATTTTGTAAATTACTTTTTTATATATTTACTGTTTCTTCTACTAATAAGTGCAGTGTCAAGTCACATATTAGTAGGATCAAATTTTAGGATTTTCTTTGGAGAAAAAATTGGATGATGGACACTACGAAAATAATATATGATTCTATTCATATATTAAAGCATTGATAAAGTCAACATCTCAAACCATTGTACACTAGTTGAGTTGTGAGTGATACATGTTTTTATATATACACTAGTGAGACTTTAATCCCACAAATTTAGATAAAAAAAATATCAATAGTCGCTGTACTTATAATGACGCTTCTAAACAGTCATTGAACCTAAAAAAAAAAAAAAAAAAAAAAAAAAATTTTTAATCATTGAACTTTAAAAAAAAAAAAAAAAAATCTATTATAGTTTTGACGTTGTTTCTCATCCGATACTTCATCTATTACTATCTTCAATTTGAAAATTAACTATATTCATGATGTGACAAAAAAATAGTAAATTCTCAAACAATTTAGAGTGTCGAATGAAAAAACAATGTTAGAAGTACACTGACCATTCAGAAAAATCTGTAAATTCACTAATAGTGGAAAACAATTTTAAAAGTGACTATTGCAAAAAAGTTTAAAATTTGATATCGATTAAAAACAACGTTGAATCTATAGTAACAATTGGTATAAAAGCCTTGAACTTCATAGCAAATGTTACAAATTGGAAAAATAAAATTACGAATTAGGAGAGTAAATTCTTTTGCTCAATAATGCGAAGGCATCCGAGCAATTAATGTTTGAGTGGACCTGACCCCCACCCCCTACCCAAATTCCCACCACCCCACACATGCAAACACAGTATCACTGTCTTTCTCAGAGTGACAGCCAAAATTGCATACATACATACACAAAGGATTTGGTTAAGAGAGATATTTGTGTTGAACCAAAAGCTATCAGCTACAGATACTACAATTGTAACCTTAGGTTATTCCATATTCAAATATGGACACAAATCTTTGTACTGTTTTCACCCTTGCCCTTCACTGTGATACCTTTCTCACTACCATGGCCCGCAAGGCCGCACTTGTACCATGCTAGTGTTGAGTTTAATGACTCTAATTAGGTTAGAATTCTTGTATTGGCGTGTTTGCCTTTACTTGGAAAAAGAATCAAAGTGAAACCATGAAAGTGAAGGAAACAGAATCCGCATGGTTCATTTTTTTTGGCGTTGCACAGATTTTTCTTGTTTTAAACGTTTTCTCTTAATTGGACTAGATTTTCTTACCTTTTATGACTCCACTAGGTTCAAAGTGAAACCATGAAAGTGAAGGAAACAGAATCCGCATGGTTCATTTTTTTTGGCGTTGCACAGATTTTTCTTGTTTTAAACGTTTTCTCTTAATTGGACTAGATTTTCTTACCTTTTATGACTCCACTAGGTTCAAAGTGAAACCATGAAAGTGAAGGAAACAGAATCCGCATGGTTCATTTTTTTTGGCGTTGCACAGATTTTTCTTGTTTTAAACGTTTTCTCTTAATTGGACTAGATTTTCTTACCTTTTATGACTCCACTAGGTTCAAAGTGAAACCATGAAAGTGAAGGAAACAGAATCCGCATGGTTCATTTTTTTTGGCGTTGCACAGATTTTTCTTGTTTTAAACGTTTTCTCTTAATTGGACTAGATTTTCTTACCTTTTATGACTCCACTAGGTTTTTGGTCGTGGCCTACAAATTAGAGGCACCTCTTTTCTATTTTATTTGTAACAATTAGCTAAATTGGTTTGTATTCTTCATATTGTTCAATAAAAACATCGCTTCCTCTGCGTTAATTTTCTTTGTTCCTCTTTTACAAATTTAGTC